GAGATAGCTCTTACTACCCCCTCATATTAGAGATGTGGAAACTGAAATACATAGACCCTTAGTAATTATCCCGATAGCACAGCTATTTAGAAATTGAGCCTTATTTCTAAGGTCCACTGCATACAACCCCTATGCTTTTAATCATTAAGATGCACTGTCTACCCATTATTATAACAGAACAGTAAAAACACATTCCTAGACCTTAGTATATGAATCACTTATTGCTGATGAGTTAATTCAATATATAATTAAATTGTGGCATCACCAAGAGAGTTAAGTTCTCTTTCTATATCAAATATACCTACCATTAAAGGGTTATTCCAGTGGTTCTCAACTTGAGAATATTCACAATGTCTGGAGACATTTTTGATTATGGGGTGCTACTGGCATCTAGTGGATAGAGACCAGAGATGCAGCTAAGTATCTTACAATGCACAACATGGATAACACAAAGAACTGGAATCCAGCTCTCCAGCCCCATCCCCAGGCAACAAAATGTCAAAGGTGCAAACAAGATTGAGAAACCCTAAACACTACCAAAGACTGTAAGTAAAAATCACCACAAACCCATCCTGACAGTGGTGGACAGGCTAGTGATGGGGAGCCATTTCATGGCCCCAAAATTAAGGTGTCCATGCCTCACCTTGCCATCCTCCAGCAGCTCCTAGGATGTGCCTGCATAATTGCAAATGTAAACACATACCAGAAAACTTGGATGTGTCAGTCATATACTTTACTATGAGTTTGGCTAAGAGTTTTTTAAGGGAGGTGGCTAGAATTCAAAGTAAAGACTGAGTTTGGGCTTCATCAGTTGATTACCCACTGCCTGTCATCACACATTATTGAAGGTCACTCTGTCAGACACTCACAGGTTTTTGATCTTCATGAGTTTTACAGTCTGTGAATAGGAGGGCCTGGAAGGAAGGTCTGATGTCAAGACAGAGCTGAGTTTTTGAATTGATGAAAAAGACAATTCCTAGGAAAGTACAGTGAAACCTAATTAAAGCATAGTCATCTCTAATTTGCCAACTAGTTAGCTCCTCAAGGCATGCCTGCCATTGACCTAGATCTCCTAGAGAGCAATGGGTCCTACTGGCCAGGAGTTAGAAGGATCAAATCAGACTTCATCAAGTGCTCACAAATGCTGGCTGAAGGTGGGAAGCAGCAACAGGCAGAATCCTCCTCATGCCAGGTTCCCAGGGGGTTCATGTAAGAACTCCAAACCACAGGCAGCAGTTTTCTACCACTTGCTGATTAATAGTATTTGTTTTCATCACCATTATGAATAGTATGATTTACACCTCTCCTTGGACATTAGCCAAGAGATAGAAAGCTGAGATAAAAATCAAAAGTCAGAAATGTTCATTTTTAAAATATTTTCCATATTATCTAGACTTGAAAAAAGTGGAGGGTCCCTATACAGTGGTACGTGGAGAAACTAAAGTCATCCATACCTTGCAGACCCTTAAAATCAAGATTAAGAAAAGGACGTACTCACTTGATTCATACACATGTGCCATCTTCCCTCCAAAAACAAAAAAAAAGTCACTGGTTAAGTGGCTCATATACGCAAGACTCCCGCATGCTGAGGGTCTGTATACATGCTCATCTAACAAATACACCAAATGTGCTGTCTCTACCTCCCCTCAGGAATAGGGAAGAACTGGAGTGGAGTCCAACGCACTTAAATTTCAAGACTGGCTATGTATTAGCCGCCCAATTCCCCTGCTGTGCGTTACTTTTAAGCACTGCTTTTTTTTTTTTTTTTTCCCCCATTTGCAGAATGGTAGTAACATTAGCTCACTGGTAAGGCTCTACTATGCTAGCCAAGAGTTTGGACAATGCCTGCCCTTTGTTGTGCTATCCTCCCACGCATCATTATGTAGTTCTCTCATTCAAAACTTCTACCCTCCTCTTTGCCTGACTAAAACCGACTCTCTTGTCAGCCTTCATTGTCATATGATTCAGAAAGGCTGCCCTGCTATATCATTCCTGAGCTCACGCCATTGATTTGTCTCTTCCTTCCATGGCAAGGCCTGTTGCGCCCAAGGCACCACTCTATTGAAGTTCCCAAACTGGGACCTTCCTAAGAATCCCCTGTGGCAGACATATCTCCACAGTGCCTGGCAAATTCGTTCTGATGGACTTAATTAGCAAATGAATGAAATAGCAAAGGAATAAAGAGCAAGGATATATAGGAGCCAAAGAGCTGCAATGTACCTTAAAAATGACCCATCAAGTGCTGCCTTGAGATGAGGAAATAGGACAACCAGAAAAGAACAATAAATTTAGAAATGAAGTCCCCAGTAACCTTTCAAAACTGCACTAGATGTCAAACATTAAATGTTCAGCAAGAAGGAAGCAAAGAGCAAAAAGGAAGATGAGAGGCACATGTTCTTCTTAGTAAAGGAGAAAGTGAGATCCCCACTGTTTGTGTGTACACAGGAGCCATGGCGAAAGGAGAAATGGGTTACATAGCCACTGTCAGAGTCTGCAGGGAACCAAGTAGAAGGAGGATTTCTGAGTAGCAAAGAAATGGTTAGTTACAGAGTAAGAACACTAACTTCTATTAAATCAAATGACATAGTTACAATGACTTCCTCCTAAACACACATGATCTAGAAGCAGAGGACATTGTATGCCCATCTCCGTGGAGAAGCAGAGGACATAGTCTGCCCATCTCCGTGGAGTAACAATATGGGAATGAGGCAAGACCAAGAGTCAGGGTTCAGGCAGGTCTAAAATATCAACAGACCATGGAAGAAGAAAGACTTAAGAGTTAATTAATACTACTCAATATTACAAAATACATTTTTTAAAGATTTATTTTTATTATTTTTGCATACAAGAACTGGGGTGTAGGCCAGGGGTGGGGGGGTGAAATTATTCACCAGAGACAGATTGGGAAGCAGAAAAGCAGATCTACTAAATAGACTGCTGAGGGGAGCAGCAGGCAAGACAGGAGAGGTCTGCTGCGCCATGTGGGTTAGCTCCCTAGCCGGGTATTGAAGTCATGTTTCAGTGGCTGGTAACAGCTTGATAGTGCTGAGACATAACCACCAGGGAGGTCCCTACTGCAAAATCTTTTTATAGTATAAAGCACATTATAAAGTATTTAATGAAATAAAATATTTAAATGACTATAAGATTAAGTAAATAGAACATACATAAACCCTCTTTCTATGCAAGCCATTCTAACTGCTCTGGAAATCATCTAAATATCTCAAATTGGCACACATTTTTGTTGATACACTTAGGCCAAGGATAATAAAAGAAGCAACAAGAAGGAAACAACTTTAGTGAGTTTAGAAATACACAATAGTTATACACATCTATATAATTTTCTGCTGTGATTAGAATCATCTATAGTCATTTACCTTTTACATAAAGGTCTGAGGCACCTTTGATTAAAAGTTTTAAGTCTAGAACAGAGGCTGTAGGAGGGCTAGCAGGACTATTACTTTATTAGAATTGAACAAAGAACAGGAAAATAAATGTCCATCATTGATAAAAGGGTGTTTTGAAAGCACTCCATTTGATATGGACTTTTAATTATGAAATATTCTGAATATATAAAAATGAAAGGACAGAAACTAATGTTGATATCATTGCACCAGCACCCTGGGGTGACTGGCAATGCCATCGAACATTACAGAGGGACAGTCCTCCACAACAAAAAATTATCTGGCCCAAAATAACAATAGCACAAAGGTTTAAAATTTTTTTTAAAAAAAAGAAAGCCTGCCTATGATTATCTGGCTAACATGAGCAACTGAAAACCAGTAATTTTAATGAACATTGATGATTTGAGCATTCAAACGAATTGGGGGGTGCAGAGGAGGAGGAGAAACCAATAATTAAGAACACATCATGTCAAATACCATGCTTTTCAAATAAAAAGCTTGGTAATTTTCCTACAAAAGTTTATACCAAATCATTCAAAAGAAAACCTGTACCCCTATTTTATTGTAGCACTATTTACAATAGGTAAAACCTGGAAACAACCCAAATGCCAAAAAATAGATGACTGGATCAAAAAGATGTGGTTTATATACACAATGGCATATTATTCAGCAATCAAAAGAGATAAACTCATGCCATTTGCAGCAACATGGATGGAGCTAGAAGGAATTATGCTCAATGAAATAAGTCAGAAGGACAAAGAAAAGTATCTGGGCCTCCCCGGTGGCGCAGCGTTTGAGCACTGGGCTCCGAAGCTGCCTGCAGCCTCTGCAGTGCCGGTTCGATTCCCGGCCACCGGCGAGGGTCCCACATGGCACACAGACCTCTCCTGCCATGTCCGCTGCTCCCCTCAGCAGTGTATTTCGTCAGTCTGCCTGTTCTCTTCCCCGCTTTGGCTCTGGTGAATTCTCTCACCCTCCCACGCTTCTGACTGTACCCAGTGCTTTTATAAATAAATAAATAGATAAATAAATAAATAAATAAATAAATAAATAAATAAATAAATAAAACGTTTAAAAAAAAGTATCAGATGGTTTCACTTATAGCAGGAATACAGGGAAACCAAGTAAGACATCAATGTAAAAAAATACTAACAGTACAAAACACAACAAAGCAAAAACAGACAATTATAAATCAGAGACATCCTGCAGGGGAGGAGGGAGAGGGTTCAGAAGGAGAGAGGGAGGAGCACAGGGGACTGAGGTAGTGATGCACACGGGTGCACTGGTGAAGGAAATTCTATGGGGACTACCCCTGAGGGGGTGGTGGGAAGCAAATACTGTTTAAAAATGAACAATGATGTAAAAAATTTAAAAATTAAAAAAAAAATTTAAAAGGTTTATACCAAATCAATAATCATCAGTATTTACAATAAAGATCAAGTATAGAAAAATAACAACAAATGCACATGGTGAAATATTTCACCATTATACAGGCTCACTTTAAGAAGTAGATTGGGACCATACATATTTCTCCAATAAAAACACTCCGATGTTCATTTAACTTAATTAATCCTTCATTTTTCTCCTATAACACAGGATCATCAGTGTAAAGGACTATAACCATTTCAAGATGACAAGCATTCACTGGACTAAATTACTTCACTGAAAAGAAATCTCATAAAAAAATTTTAAAGGTAATTTTAGAAACCTCTCTGTATTGTCAAGAACTTTCTTAATATCATCAAAATGTTATAAAGGAGTAACTTCAGGAAAAGTAGATTTATGGCACATGGTTAGAATGGTGGAAGGTGAGATAAATAGGCCACTGCATGATGAGCAATGAATTTAAGCCAACTAATCATGTTTTTATTTACATGAGCACATTTCTGGAGCAAGCATTCTATTGTATTAAATCAATTCTGCCCAAAGAGAGCCCTGAGAGTACATGTAATATACTGCAGCTTGAAAATACTTCACACAGCACAGTCCTAAGGACTGTGTTGCACTAAGGAAAAGTGCACCCAGTTTCTAGATCAAAATGAATCTTCAGCATTGACATTCTAGCCGTGCAAAAAATTCAGGGAAAGCAATATTCCTATCATACTTACACAGCTTATAAGCCCCATTCCACCATGTTCTTTGAGTATATTACCCGAGACCCAAAGTTTAGTTTTAGACTAATATATTCCCTGCCATTTTAACCTTTTGCCTGCATTTGTGACACCAGGAAGAATTCTAGTTTAAAGAAGTCGAAGACTTATACTACTAAGTATCCCTTTTTAAAAAGTTTTGTTAGGTATAGAAAATTTTAACTATGGTCTCAAATGTTTAGGGAACATTGTTAATCTAATGACCACTTTCTCTATAGAAATTCAGAGATAATCTCAGAAGGGACAGTCAGGGGCAGGGGCTTCCCCTCCATAAATAAACTGGCTCACCAGAATATACATTTTTTGATCATCTTCCAGAGGTCCTTCTCCTCTTTATATTTTTTCCTTTCCCTATCTCTCCTTAATGGATTAAAACAAGCTGCTTATAAATAGTGAATCAAGGGGGCATTGTTGGGCCACACTAAGACAGTCTTTGTTTTCTTTCCTATTCATTTGGGTCTTAATTATTTTCATGTTATTGTATAAAATCGATATCAGTATGTACTATTTCTACCATTTGTGAAAGGCTTTGAAGTTTTGGCCTGATCAAAATTGTATTAGAACATTAAGTCATCTCTATACTAAAGATAAGGAGAGGAGACTAGGCACATGTTCTAAGTTAAAGTGATAAGTAACTCTGCAAAAATCTTGTCCTGTTTTTCATTTAGTATACATTCCTACCTTCTGGTCTCAATTTAGAGTTGGTCTCACTTGCTGTAGATTCCTTAAGACAGCTCCTTTTTTTTTTACCCATCTGTCAATCACTGTAGAAAAAGGCTGCCTCACTGAAATGAAGACCAAGTATGGTTAAAGCACATGCCTAGGGGACACAATGCCCCACTGCCTCTAGCGAAAAAATATTTACAAGCTTGCAAATTACCACAAAAGCTGTCATGGAGTTTACTTTGCAGTCATTATACTTGCAGATTATACTTATCATTGGACTCCACTTTATCTAACCAGAGAGCAGTGTGGGTTATAGTGATCCCTGTTTCTTCCACCCACCATGTCTCAACCCCTGCCAACCTTAAACAGAACCTCTTATCTACCATTTCTTCAAAATATGTCAAAATGGCAAAAGGATGTTTGGGAAGAAAAGCTCCAAGTCAGCCTTGTATTTACTCCACTTCAGAAAGCATACCTGCTCTAGAAGTTTTTATTAACATGAATGGATCAGCCAGCTCTTTTCTTCAACCTCACATCTAGCCGGGAGCAAAGGCACTCCTCACAAGGGCACAGGTGTTCAGATTCTCAACACATTAAGGACTCTGAGCACACAGTTCTGGATGTATGGCATCAGGCTACATGCAGAAATACTGCAGATCAACAACATAGAGATCACAGGACTCTGAGAAAATGTCTTTACAGAGTTCCATAAGGATAGAAGTTGTAGCTCTCATTAAATCATTTCTGAGAGAGACTTCACTATTTCTCGCTATGTAGTGGTTTCTGTAATTATTCTGTAAGGAAGGGGATTGTATGTACTAAATCACATCTGGAAACTTTTCATTATTTTACAGTATTATATAGTTAATTAATATTTTTCTCTTCTTCAAAATATTAACATCTACATTTTCTACTATTTTACATTTTAAAATCTGGAAAAGCCAGCGACTACTGGGTTTCTAGCATGAGCACCTCACTCACAGGTGTGCCCCAGGACTGACAGGAGTATACTGAAAGACATGTTTCCTCAAGTTCTGTAAGACTGACTCTTAGACAAGATGCATCTGACTATAAAACAAATTATTTACTGGACACTAATTCTCTATGACAGCAGTCAGTTAAAAATAGGAAACACAGCCCAGTGGTAGGCACACAAGACCTACCAAGAAACAACTACAAACCCACTGTGGTCAGAGCTAGGTACACAGAGGGCGACATTTCCTTCCAAAGAAGTCCAGGGGCTGGCAAAATCAAGTGGCTAGAAAATACTAGTTTTGTCACATTCTGGTCTGGGAACAAGCATACAAAGTTTGTAAATTTTTTTTATTTGGAATGTGACAATTTCATATTCCACATGTCCAAGTTCTACTTTCTCATGCTTCCCTAACTTTAATCAATGTCCAAGTTCTACTTTCCTGTACTTCCTTAACTTTACTCACTGTGTATAAAAGCCCCATGCTTGGTACCAGAAATACAAAGATGAACAAATAAATCTTTGAACTCAAGGAGCCCACCCATTTTCCCCCCACAAGCTTTCTTTCCCATCATCCCTGATTAGATGTAATTTTCTTAAGAGGGGGGCTACGTAGCCGGTGTTTGACTTTCTTTTGAAGTGGAGGCAAAGGGGAGAGAACCAAGAGTGAGGCAAGTACTCCTCACTCCTGTCTGTCTTTCTGTCCATGGTGGGTTTCTGTTTCCCATGTAGTGGGATTGTGAGTCATTCCCCTCCCCTTCAGGCCTCCTACTACATTTGGGGGAAGTTTCTGGTGTGGCTGGGGTCCCATGAGGGTGTGTGATCCTTCAATAAAGGATAGCAAACAGGAAAGAAAGAAAAAAAAAGGAGCATGGATTCATGTCTTGTAGGCCCATATTGCATATTTATTACTTCACAAATTTTTTTTAAAGATTTATTTATTTATTCATTCATTCATTTATTTATTTATTTGTTTGTTTATGCAAGCACTGGGTACAGTCAGAAGCGCGGGAGGGTGAGAGAATTCACCAGAGCCAGAGTGGGGGAACAGAACAGACTGACTGATGAAATACACAAATGAGGGGAGCAGCGGGCAGCAGGAGAGGTCTGCACACCATGTAGGACCCTCGCCGGTGGCAGGGGATCAAACCGGCGCTGTAGAGGCTGTGGGCAGCTTTGCAGCCCAGTGCTCAACCACTGCGCCACCAGGGGAGGCCCTACTTCACAAATATTTTATCTACCATCCTAAATATAATGCTAGGAATAATATGGTAAAGAATGACACTGTGTCTCCTCTTTGGCACTTACAGTAGTGGGGGAACAGCTGCCACCAGACCTTGAGTGTTATAATCAGAGAAAGGCACAGAACATGAGCACCCCACACCCAGTCCACCTTCTACCCAAGATTTGAAAGGAAGAAGTTTCCTGAACCAGTTTAGGAAGGAATACATTCAAGTTAAGGCCTCAAGGATAAAGACAAATTAACCAGCCAAGAAGGTAGCAAAAGAGTTTGTGCATAGGTCCAAGGTAAGAAAAATAATGGAACCCACAAGGAGGTAGAATTAGGACAGCAGGAACTCATATTTAGATGTGGTCAAAACAGGAACCAGACCAAGAACGTACTTGTGATAGCTCTGCACTGAAGAGTTAAGACTTGAATCCTGAGGGCAAGAACCACATACTTGAGGGTTTGAAGCAGGATGTTAACACTGCATATAAGATAGACAGTAAATACTTCTACATCAAATAATCTTTCAAAGAAATGCTCATCTTCCCTGTGCCCTGTATTAATGCCTGACATTGCTAAACAATAGACAGGATTTCCTAACAAAATAAAGTTCTAGATAATACCTAAGGAGAAATTGGCCAGTAAAAACAGGATGTGAGTCATACTGGACAATTTAAAATGTAAAACTGAAAGTTTTACATTAAAATGAAAATTTTTACAGTTTAGTAAAACTTTTAAAAAATAAAACTAAAAGACATTAAAATTTAAAAATATATTTTAATGTGCTATTTCTAAAATACTTTAACAATTTAATCAAAATTTTAAACATTAAGGTATTTCACATTCTTTTCTGGTACTAATTCTGCAAAGTTCAGTGTGCATTTCCTACTCATATCACACCTCAATTTGAACTGGCTTAAGAGCATTTGAAATGCTCTTATGTCACATATGGCTAGTGGCTATCATTGTGCATGGATAGTGCAGGTCTAGAATTTGGGAAACATGTCTTGGAATATTTAAGGTCTCTATCATTTGTTTTTGTTTGTTTTCTAATTTATAAAAAAACACATGAGTTTTTCATTACAAAAAAAGAGAAGTAGCTCAATTTTAAAGACACTTATAATCCCATGTAACAATATCAGTTACGTTTGGATTTGAGTGCTAATAAAACATTGTCCTGAGTTCAAAATATATTCAGGAAGGCTTTTTTAAAAGTATAGTCTGAATTGATAGCTTACTTAAACCTAATATATTAAACAGAAAGAGTTCTGAATAAAATGCAATGGATTCTCTCTTTTCAGTTTTATTACTTTTTGAGACTATATTTAAACAAATATATGCTAAAACTTCATTTTTCAGGAACAGATATTATTTTAGAGAAATTTCCTTCTTTATATCAGTCAAGAGTTCCCAGACTGACGTGCATCTTCAAGTGTTCTTTCCTGTCACCTGTATATTCTCTTATCAAAAGGAAGTGAAAGAGGAGAGAAAGGAGGAATGTGTAACTATATTCATTGTCTTTGCTTATTACCTGGACACTGTAAGAGTGCTCTTAGTGCCTACTGCACATCTCTTTCCAGGCCTCGCCTTCAGAAGTTACAAGATGGTAAATTCCACCACCACACAGTCTTCGGAGGAGTCCTGCTCCAAGAACACCCTCATAACTCAGCAAATCATTCCTGGGCTATACTTTGTGGTCTTCGTTGCAGGGTTCATGCTCAATGGTGTGTCTGGATGGATATTCTTTTACGTACCCAGTTCCAAGAGCTTCATTGTCTATCTCAAGAACATTGTTGTTGCTGACTTTGTGATGAACTTGACTTTTCCTTTCAAGATTCTAAATGACTCAGGCCTAGGCCCCTCACAGCTGAACGTGTTTGTATGTAAGGTTTCTGCTGTGTTCTTCTATGTCAACATGTATGTCAGCATCGTGTTCTTCGGGTTCATTGGCTTCGACAGGTATTATAAAATTGTAAAGCCTCTTTCAACTTCTTTCATCCAGTCAGTGAATTACAGCAAACTCCTGTCGATAATGGTGTGGCTGTTGATAGCCCTGCTCGCCATTCCCAACATAATCCTGACCAACCAGGATGCCAGGGAAGTGACGCACATAGTATGCATGGAACTAAAAAGTGAACTGGGACGGCAGTGGCACAAAGCATCAAGTTACATCTTTGTGGGCACCTTCTGGATTGTGTTTCTTCTGTTAATCATTTTCTATACTGCTATCACAAGGAAAATCTTTAAGTCCCACCTTAAGTCCAGAAAAAATTCTGTTTCAGTCAAAAAGAAATCTAGCCGCAATATATTCAGCATCATGCTCGTATTTGCTGTCTGTTTTGTGCCCTACCACATTGCCAGGATCCCCTACACTCAGAGCCAAACAGATCCTCATTACAGCTGCCAGTTAAAAGAAATCTTGCTCTATGTGAAGGAATTCACTCTGTTACTATCAGCTGCAAATGTATGCCTGGACCCCATTATTTATTTCTTCCTATGCCAGCCATTTAGAGAAATCTTATGTAAGAAATTGCATATCCCACTAAAAGCTCAGCATGATTCAGAAAATTCCAAAACCAAACGGGGAAACACAACCCATGAAAGCACAGATACTTTGTGAATTTCCACATCCTTTCAAATGAAGTACATGTATGTATACTGTATTCTTCATTACACTAAGTGAATAAAAAAATGCCCATGATAGTAAGTATCATCTCTAGGCAAAATTGACCAATTTAACACAATAATGATACTAAAACTGTAAGTTTCCATGCTTGTTGCAAGATCAAAGAAGAAAATAATACATTTTTTAATCTTATTCCATTAAAATAGAAGGTTTAAATTTGTAATCACAGGTTTGGTCACTTAAAGGAGTACTTTAAAAAGCAAATAAAACAGCAACTAAGACCATTTACAGGGGCATAGTCCATCACTAACATAAGATTTTCCTCATGGCATTTCAAGGGAAAGCAAATATAAATTAGGTACTTTGCAACAAAAAGTGTGATTTTTTTTTTCCTGATAGAATTTTGAGGATGATATATATGTTAAAAATGTTTCATGTGAAGACTTTCTAAGTCACTTAATGACCATGGAAATTTGGTGTTAAATATTTTTCAAGTGGAGTCTACTGAGGGGTAACTGGCTAATGACATGTGTTGCCAGAGACTTCCCCTGTTCAGCAATATGGAGAAAAAACAGGATGACCTCGGGAAAAAAACACATACACACACCCAGGTTGGCAATATAATTATTCTTCGGTGTCAAGGACAGCTTTCCTAGAAAGCAACTAGAACTTGATATAAAGAAAATCTAAAATTTTTATTAATGACTGAGAAATTATACATTAAAATGAAAGTTCGAGCCTCCCCTGGTGGAGCAGGCAGTTGAGCATAGCACTGTGAAGCTGTCCGCAGCCTCTGCAGTGCCGGTTTGATCCCGGCCTGGCCAGCGAGGGTCCCACATGTTGTGGCAGACCTCTCCTGTCATGCCCACTGCTTCCTCAGCAGTGTATTTCATAAGTCTGCCTGTTCCATTTCCCACTCTGTCTCTGGTGAATCCTCTCACTCTCCCATGAATCTGGCCTGTACCCCAGTTCTTGTATAAATAAATAAATAAATCTTTAAAAATAAATAAATAAATGAAATGAAAGTTCACCTTTCATATTTTCTGGAAAACAGATGAATTTAAATATGTGAAGACATAGGGTATATTTACTGGTTTATGAGTAAACAAAACTAAATTCTTTCTGTGATTAACATGCTACAAGACATTCCATTCCTACTTTCAAATGTTCTTCTCATACATTTTTATAAGTCATGTTTATAAAATACATTTCATGCTTTCCTGTATGTGCACTAATAAAGAATTATTCTCAATATTGTCAATTTTTTTCTCAATCAAGAATTGAGGAAACATTAACAATATACTCAACTATGCATGCTAACAAAGGAAGACAATTACATAGAGAATTCAAAAATTCTACCTGCCATTGACATATCAAAATGTGCACTTCATATGCACCAAGAAGGCCCACATCAGATTTTAGATAAAACTCAGAAAATACATCTTAAATTGAGGAAAAGCTGGAAATGTTTTCACACTCTGTGCCAACCCTCCACCTACATAATAGCTTCCAGAACCCATCCCAGGATCAACTATCCTCTCTCAAAATGCAACAAAATCACTTATATGTGATAAATATGCTTGGTAAAACTAAGCTTGCTGTATTTGTTTAGGTAAATATATTTGCAAAAGAAATTAGCTGTGCTTATTCTTAACAAATTCCATTGGCCGGGACAAATCAGTAAATAGGTGCTTTAAATATACTCAATGGGCCACAGAAGAAAATGAAAAAGAGATAAATAGTAGCAAATCATGCCTTCACCATGCACATCATGTAATGAAAGGCATTACATTTCAGGAAACAACCTGCAATGCAGAAAATGATACTGAAATAAGAGTAACAGTTACTGAAATTTAGAACTTTCAGGTCCAGGACTACAACAAAAAAAAATAAAGTGGGAGACTACTGCCAGCCACTGCGGATGAACCCCAAGGCTCCTAAGTTCTGCTGTAGTGGAAAAGAGAGGTCAAATTCTAATTCCTTCTATAGGTAAGTCAATCATGCAAGTGCTCAAGCACTCAGATGCCCTTATTAGTCAGGGTTTATAAACTTGGGTGCCTGAGGTATCAAACAAGGCAACATAACATGATTATAAGAAAAAAGACTAAGGTGACAGTTGACTGAGAATTTAAGTCTCACTAGGAACAGTCAACCCATTCCAGCCTCAGTCAACTCTTTCTCTACATTTTCAAGAGATGTAAAATTCACACATATTTTAATTGCAAGGGCATCAATTAAAACACCTACTTTGCTGATTTCCGGAATGCAGAAATTAATAAAAAGGTGTTCAAAAGTAGCTCTTGACTATTACTAAAAATCCCCCTTCATGACCTCCCCAGTGGCGCAGCGGTTGAGTGCTGGGCTGCAAAGCTGCCCGCAGTCTCTGCAGCGCCAGTTAGATCCCTGGCCAGCCAGCCGGCGAGCAGACCTCCCCTACCGCTGCTCCCCTCAGCAGTATATTTCGTCAGTCTGCCTGTTCTGCTCACCAATCTGGCTCTGGTGAATTCTCTCAGCCTCCCACACTTCTGACTGTGTACTCAGTGCTTGTATAAATCAATAAATAAATAAATCTTTTAAAAATTAAAAAAAAAATTAAAAAATTAAAATCCCCCTTCAGCGGGAATTCCTTACATTTTCTTTAAGTGAACTGAGATTCTGTTTTGATGCATGACTGCTTCAACTACTTATACAAAAATAATCTGAAGTATTTTCATAAGAGAAACATTTGAGATGAAAAGAACCAAGAAACAAAGATCATAATCATATGAAAAAGATCCCATATGAAACTGAATTCTGTGAACCCATCAAAGGTTTTTGTATTAAAAAAAAAAAAAGTAGACCACCCTAGTGGCACAGCAGTTGAGCGCTGGGCTGCAAAGCTCCCCACAGCCTCTGCTTGCATCGGTTGGATTCCCAGCAGCCAGCAAGGGTTCCACATAGCGCACATAACTCTCCTGCCACGCCCGTTGCTCCCCCCAGCAGTGTATTTCATCAGTCTGCCTGTTCTGTTCCCTGCTCTGTCTCTGGTGAATTCTCTCACCCTCCCACGCTTCCGACTGTACCCAGTGCTTGTATAAATAAATAAATAAATCTTAAAAAAAAAAGTTTGGGAAAAAAAAAAAAAAGTGGTCAGCACTGATACTAATCATTCTTCGTATTCTTTCCCAGCAATAAAAACACAACTTTTCCTTTGGGGAAAAAAATCAGTCCTACCTGTTCTCAATCATGTATTCTCTCTCAGCCTACTGGTCTCAAAAAAGTAGGAGCAGGCCAAAATGACAGGCAGTATTCCCCTGGTTTGGACGTATCATGACCTGATTTGACCCTTATGAGAGCAAGTCCAGACTTCTCGAAAATTTCTCTGGAGGACTTGATGTGAAGAAGTCAAGTCTAGATGTGCTTCCTTCCTTTTGCCACCATCAAATGAGAGCCTACAGCTTCCTGTGAGTTGAAACTAACAGGATGGAAGGTTATTGGAGATTGTACAAACCCAGCCCTGGTTACAATGGCTAAGCAATGCATCAACCCCAACCCAAAATCATACACACAACTTTTGACATTTAAGTCTGTCAATAAATCTCTTTCATTGCATAAGTACAATTTTAGTTGTGTTTTTTTGCCACCTACAAATGAAAAACATATTAATACACTGGTTTCACCTCAAAGATTAATCCAGAAACTCTAGAAAATATACTTACACAAAATTTTGCTTCTTCTTGATGATGGTGGCAATGGTTGTGCCGTTAGCTTTTTATTGTGTTCTTAACACAATTTCTGCCACCTATATCTTTTAACCAACTTTGAAGAAAACAGAAAAGTATACTTATACAGAAAATATCTGTAACATTAAGCAAGATATCAAAAACTATAAACATAATTGGGGCCTCCATGGTGGTATAGTGGTTAAGTCTCAGCACTATCACCACTATGGTGTGAGCTTGATCCCTGGTCAGAAAGCTAACCCACATACTGTGCAGCAGACCGAGAACTTTCTTGCCTGCTGCTCTCCTTAGCAGTGTATTTCTATACATCCACCTATTCTGCTCCTCACTCTGTCTCTGGTGAATCCTCTCGCCCCATCCTGTACCTTTGGCCTACACCCCAGTTCTATGCATAAACAAAGTAAATCTTTTTTTAAAAATCACAAACATAATGAATCATTCCACATCCCCTCAATGGTCATGGGATTTTCTTTTGGGTAAACAACACTTTAACACTTTGTGTTTGAGATGTGAGAGAAATGATACTGTGCAATCTTCAAAGGTAAAAGCCACTAAAGATGCCAATGGCCTGGGGATTACAAGTTCATGATAGGACATCCTGAAAAAAAGAAGTACTTTAACTGTTTCATAGCACTGCTGTACAAAATGATTAAATATTGCATTACTTAAATACACTATTTATATACTGATGTACTACCAATAAACTATTTATCTGTAGTATATATTGCAACCTTCTCATTACACTAACCATAGAAAGGAAACAGATGATTCCACAACATAAGGTGCTCAGCTTCAGAGTTTACATAGCATGTGAAAAGCAACCTCATTTCTCTCTCTCCCACTGCCAACAGAAGTTAGGATCTAAACACAGAAGGGGTGTTACAGTGATAAAAATATAGCCCAATCAGCAACAAATAGACATGTGAAAAGTATTTTCATTGATAAACTTCAATAATAAAAGACAACTTGTTATTTTTGCCGTATACAAACATTTACTGTATGCAATAAAGCACATGTTTGAATGACTTCTCATGTCCTTATTAAGATCCCTTGCCCAACTCATCTTATCTATATCCCAAATATATTTATATTAAGAGCTTTGGAGACTTGCAATACAGGAATTTAGACCACAGGTCGTCTTGTTCTCTTCCTTGCCTCTATTTTTCACCAGCTCTAACTCACAGGGTGTCAGTATGGTTAGGGCAAGCCCAGAGCTAAACTCCTGCCCCCACCCTTCCCGCTCCAAGCACCATGTCAATGGTGAATTACTAAGTCTCTCTGTAACACATATGACAAAGTCCTGAGAGTTTACTTTCCTGCCATTCCATTTTCTGACATAAAAGGACACTAAATATGGCCATAAACTATTTCATATTACTTGAAATATCTTGATATTCCCTTTTCTATGCTAAAAAAAATTCTTAACTGGCAGGATTTGTCAAGCTGTTGTTTATGTCTTGCTTTATAACATTAGCCTTCTGAGAGAATACCAGGTTTCTATGATACATTATTGACTGAAATGAGAAGTTAATCTTTATTTTGTTTATTAAACAGCCAGTTTCAACTCCATATGAAATTCACCTTCTTCGTAAGAAAAATATACCACTATTTTTAAAGCTTGCAATGCCATAACCTAGTGTATTTTCTTATCTGGTTGATACTATGAAGTAGTCAGGTGAATAAAAAGTAAAATACTACTCAAAAGTAAAAAGTAAGCCCAAAACACTCACTGTTCTACCTGCAAAACCTGATTCTCACCTCAGATTTCCCCTTCCTGGGGATGAAATGGGGTCTGCCCACTCCCAGTCAGACACCACAGCACAGTTATTTCTCAACCACCCATCTCTTCCCATCTGACTTGTGACTTTAGGTCCTCATTGCCTCTCACCTAAAAGGATTGCAATCATCCCCTAACTAGTTTTATGCCTTCAACTTTCTCCTCTAACCCAGCAGACTCCAATGCTGGAGATTTATACAGGACTACTGTGTTGATAGCTCCTCTCAGTACTTCCTTTGAGAAAGTACTTTGAGAATATTCAATACAAAGTCTCAGCCTTTTCCTCCCATAGATCCTGCTCAGATACTCTAACCACCAGATTCTTGGATAGGCCTGTTTCTGGCTGTGACAGTGGTTACTAAACCCAACATTCATTTCCCCATCCTCATTAGCTCCATAATTTCATATGATTGTGGATAGGAAAGTTGACTACAAAGGTAGTTTTTTCTCAATTCTTCAGTTAAAGGACAACTTACTTTCTTTTTTTTTTTTTTTTTTTTTACATATACAAAGTACCCATTGAAATAACTAACATATCATTTCTTAAGCAAAAAATATTGCCAAGATCCAGGTAAAGGAAAGTAACTTCACCTCATTCTTCCCCTTTGGGTTTCAAATACTAGGTTAGTGATGATAGGCAGTTTCCTGGAACACTAACAAAATATGTTCTGAAAAACATTTGAATGACAGAAAGAATGAGTTATGAAAATTCAAATGGAATTATTTTCAAAAAAAAGAAAAAACAGAATAGCAAAAAAATATAAACTTCCACAAAATGGAGGTTACCTCAAGTTCACTCTCAAAATGAAGAACATGGTTCAGTTTCAGTATTAAAAAAAATTGTTTTTTTTTTTTTTAATCATTCCAAAAGGGAACTAGAAGACTGGAGACTAAAATATTTTAGCTCTTTCATATTTGGAAATCCAAACAACAATAAAAAAACTGTGGCCTTAGATTTTTTAAAAACAGATGATGTACTCCTCAGTTTTGTGTGTATCCCCAAAGTGAACAGGAAAATGAACTTTTTAAAAAAAGAAACCTTATTAAAAGCCATTTATTCTGGTTTTCCTTCATACCATGTCACACTTGGTTGGTAGTGAACTCCATCTCTCCAAATTCTCTCCATCTCAACTCTCCATCCTGCCAGTGAGTGACCCCAACCATAGCTGCACACTTACTGAACCATCTGTAAGTCGTTGCGCAGTGAGCCTAATCCAACAACAATGTACACAGATCTTTACATTATTTCCTAGCACTATTATAATAGGCATTAAGACTGGTTCTCAACCAAATCAAACACAAAATTTGAGAAAGATTTGGGTTTTTCCATCTAATGTACATGTAGAATATAAAGTCTGCTTTTGCAAAATAAAAATTACATGGTTTGGGGAGAAGACCAGAATATCTGCAACAAATGGCACTACCACAAGCATCCTTGTTTTGTTTTTTCAAAATTTCCCCAAGATTCTTCTAAATTCCCTCTAGTTTGTAATTTCTCACCTTGTCTTTTAAGAGATTTTCTTTTTAAGAGCTAATATCAAAAGTGATTCATTTTAGATTGTAGAGAAGCTTCTTTGGAGTTTTTTTTTTTTTTTAAATCTGGAAAACTGAATGAAAATTATCAGGAGAAAAAGGTAAGAAACCAAAGCACCTACAGAAGTAAACAAACTCCAGCTGACCAGGCAATGGTTTTGCACTTATAAGTCAACTTTGAACAAGCTGACATAGAACATCTGAAAATATCCTTGGGACATAAGCTTATGTTCTCTTTCATAAAAGCTATCCTTACAGAAGAAAGATATCCAACAAAGTCAATTGGTGATGCTGATGAGACATGGACTTTTTGTTAGCTCCCCTTCCCCACACCCACCCCCACACTAGGTTCCTATCAGACACTCAGTAAACATTTGCTCAGCACAGGCACAATGAACATTTACCCAATTTAAATGCATACAAGGATCCCTTTCTTTATAATCTATCAATTGCGAAATATTTGTCTCAATTCAGTGAGTTGTCTGGATCAAACTGACAAAGGATCATTACAGACCTACTCTCATAATTTTGAAAAACAAATATATTCTTGAATAAAAAATGTATACAAAAAATGGCATTTGCGTACAGTAACATTTTAAGTGCTATACATATACCTAAAATGTTTGCACCAAAAATAGTGATTCTCTCTACGTAATGATTTTCCTTCTCTATTTCCAGATTTTTCTACAATGAACCAAAAAAAAAGAACAAAATAAAACATACTTTACCAGTCTATGTTAAATCATGTTTCTCTTTTTGCTTTTTAATAGATGTCTCAGTAGAACCCAGAGCAACAATACTTTACTGAAAGGCTGATGAATATCAGTATGTATATTAAAGGAACTCCTTTCAAGCCACAAAAGTTGATGTCCTTTAACATCAAGATGATGCAAATATGAATGTCAAAAAAAAAAAAGGCTAGTTGCTACAATGAACAAATAAAAATATTTCCTCTGAAAGAATATAAATTTGAATTGCTTAAGAAAACAATACACAAGATGAAAAGTACTTCTTTAGAGGCCTTCACACAGCTGAACTATTTGCAAACCACAGTTTCATCTACGTCAGTATGTAACATTTCAAAACCACACAAAAAGGAAAGGAAATTTTTGAATGCAGCCAGCAGTCCTGCAATAAGGTTGCTCCTGCTAACACTAATACAATAGCTCATGCTCTGAAGACCTGGTGTTAGGCCTGTCTGCTGAGGCTCAAGAATATACTTTCAGGTATGTCTTTTTAAATATTTATGATATTCAAATGTCTTCCATGAATAGGAAATCTATGATTGTCAGTGTTTAAGCCATGTATTGAAAATGCCAACATGTAAAAATATTGCTATGTAAGGGCACCAATTATGAAATTCTAAAGATTCTCACTGTGAACTACATTGCAATTTCCTTCTATCTGATGACACCATCCATCCCTCTCAAAAAAAAAAAAAAAAAAAACAGCTGAATTCATAAGGACTGAATAAATATTTGTGAGCATAAATACTCTGTAACTCAATTTTCTAAACGGAGGATAAAGGCTATGCTGTAGAACATCACAACAGGGCACACTAGGTCTTAAAATGACTTTGCTCTATAAATATTATGATAGCTAACTTCAAAAAAAAATTCCATTGTGACTTCCATAAAAATCTAATAAGCTTATTAATTTTCTAGGCAACAGGGACTCTATCCAAAGGAGACACTTGAAATTATTTCCTAGATTTTGCTAGAGTAACTCTGGGTACCTCAAATTTCCGTAGGCTGACAAAATATGTATAAATATTTAGTTTTTTAATTTATCACAGGGAACAAAAATGTTACTAGAGGGGGCCTTCCCAATGACTCAGGGGTTAAAGTCTCAGGGCTATCAAGCTATGGCCAGCGACTTGTGTTTGATCCCCAGCCAGGGAGCTGACCGACATATGCCACAACAGACCTCTCCTGTCTGGCCCGCTGCTCCCCTCAGCAGTGTTTCAGTAGCTCTGCCTGTTCTGCTCTCCACTCTGTCCTCAGTGAATCCTCTCACCCCCTATGCATAAATAAATAAAATCTTTAAAAAAAACTGTTACTAGACTATAATTGACCTCTAATTGACATAACCCAAACTCTTAAGAGATTTGGTTTTCATTGCAATATAGACTGAGGTTCATGAAAAGCATTATGATTCTAAATTGAATAACAATTAAAAATAATTTTTAATTTACTTATATAATTATTTATATTATCCAGTTCTAGATACTAATTGATCAAAATAATTTTGTATTATTATATATATTATATATATTCATCTATAAAATGAGACTTTACTGTATAATCATATGAGAACTGGGGGCACTTAAAAAAACACATTATTATCGAACATTTGACATGCAAGAGCATAAGCCACAAAATCCTAACACCTTGTAAACAATGAACCAAGTTTAGAGAAGCAGATCAATTTACACCAACACTAGGTTTTGACAGAGAATAAACAGATGTTCAAAATGCCAAGGTACAAATAAATGGTTACTATAAAAAATCAGAGTCTTAAGGAAATCTGTGAGGCCTGGAGTAGAATTCAGACAAGAAGAGCCTCCTCCAGACACAGGTTAGGTAGGATTCAGGCATAGGAAGGATAAAGGTAGAAAGTCTAGAAAATTGTCAACAAGGTCAGATCATACACTGCTCTAACAAGCTTTGAAACCTTGAGCTACTGCCAAATGCCAGACCTGATTCTCTTCAACAATTCTGGCATTGGACTAGCTGTTAATAAAAGTTCCCTCCATCCTTAACATCCTATGATCCCAAAATTTATCGGAACCAAAAGCACTAAGAAAGGAAGGCACAGTTCACAGAACAGTATAGGTTGCAGCAATCTAAAGTAGAGAGTTGGCTGCTCATGGATGCTGCCAAGTAAGCATCAGAAAACCTTCCCCCTTCACTGCCATCATGTCTAAGTCAGAGTTCCCAAAGGAGCCAGAGCAGCAGTGGAAGCTCTTTATTAGTCTTTCAAGCTTTGAAACAACTGATGAGTATCTGAGAAGCCGTTCTGAGCTACGGGGAATGCTCACAGACTGTGGTGAAGAGAAATCCAAAGATCAAAAGACCCAGAGACTTTGGGCTTGTCACTTATGCCACAGTGGAGGAGGAGGATGCAGCCATAAATGCAAGGCCACATGAGGTGGATGGAAGAGCTGTGGAACTAAAGAGGGCTATTTCAAGAGAAGATTCTCAAAGGTCTGGTATCCACTTAACTGTGAAAAAGATTTTTGTTGGTGGCATTAACACTGAACAAAGGAGATTATTTTGAATAGTATGGGAAAAGTGAAGTGATTGAAATCTGACTGACTGAGGCAATGGCAAGAAAACAGGCTTGTCTTTTGTAGCCTTTGATATCCATGATTCTCTAGACAAGAGTGTCATTCAAAAATACCATACTGTGAATGGCCACAACTATGAAATAAGCAAAGCTCTATATAAGCAAGAGATGACCAGATGCTTCATCCAGCCAAAGAGGTCAAAGTGGTTCTGAAAACTGTGGGGGTATTTGTGCAGGTGGTATGGTAGGAATACAATGTTGTTCATGGAGGAATGGTAGAACTGGCTTTGGTGGCAGTCACGGTGGTAGATATGGTGGTGAATATGGTGCCAGTGGGATGGCTGTAATGCATCTGGCAATGATAGTAACAATTTTGGAGGTGGTGGAAGCTACAATGATTTGGGCAATTGCAACAATCAATTTTCAAATTTTGCACCCATGAAAGGAGGAAACTCTAGTCCCTATGGTGGTGGAGGCCAACATTTCACCAAACCACAAAACCAAGGTGGCTATGGTTATTCTAGTAGCAGTAGCAGTAGCAGCAGCAGCTATGGCAGTGGCAGAAAATTTTAACAAACTGGCAGGAAACAAACTTAGCAGGAGAGGAAAACCAGAAAAGTGACAGGGAAGCTGCAAGTTACAACAGATTTGCTGTTGTACTCAGCCAAACTCAGTGGTGGCAGGGCCTACCTGCTGCTACAAAGAAGACGTATTTTAGGTAATACTCATGTGTATGGGCAAAAAACTTGAGGACGATATTTGTGATTAATGTATTACAGATTATTTTAGTTTCTGTTCTGTGGAAAGTGTAAAACATTCTAATGAAAGGTTATAATGTAGTTTTGTTTGTTTGGGGTTTTTTTGCACCCATTCTGTTGATTATTAAATGTAATAGTCTGATAATGATGCTGAATAAATGTGTTCTTAAAAAAAATTAAAAAGTAGAGATGGATAAGACAGAGGGGATGATATGGAGGGACTAGATCAGAGGAACTTGGAAAGTAAAGGAAATTTAGATTTAAGGATAGGACCTAGATTTGGTTTTTAAACACACACACACACACACACACACACACACACACACACACAGAGTCAGAAATATTAAATATCAAAATACATTAAGCCTAAACTTCTTTTTTATTGATGCTTAGGGAGAAAAAGTAAGAATCAGTATTTTATTCTGCTCTTTTACATGAAAGTTGCTTAGCATATAGTTCTGGCCACATAGTCACAGATGATACCTATAATCATCTTTACCAACATCATCACTAATATCATTACTCAGAAGGAGTTCTAAGTGGCTCCATATGTGACTTCTGAGATCAGACTGTCTGGGCTGGAATCCTGCCTTTACAATGTTTAAGCTTACTACACATCAGTTTTCTCATTTATAAAACAAGGATTAATAGCAGGAATCTAGAAAACTTAAATAAGGGACCAGGAAAATGAATAACTATAGGAAAGTGAAAATCAAAATCAACAAAAAACTATGAACCAGAGACACTTTCTGGGGGGTGGGGGGGCGGGAGGGAGGGATTGGGGTCAAAATGGGGGGGTTGCAATTGTATGGGGAATATAAAAATAAAATTTATTATTAATAAATAAATAAATAAATAAATAAAACAAGGATTCAAAACATCTACATTGTAGGATTAACGCAAGGTTAAATAAATACATATAAAGTAGTTAGCACAGTGCCAGACAAAAAGTGCCTAATTATTTTCATTGAGTTCAGTACAGAATGACATTATTCATGGATCCTAAACTCCTCACTCAAGAAGGAAACGGGAGGGACATGTGCCTTAAAATAACACTTTAATTTACAAAATCTTACATACATCTGCCTTCCCAATCCATAGGCATATTGTTTCGTGTAATTAATAATCATTAAATAATTAGGAGAATCATAATTTAGAAGGGCTCAGAAGTTTGCTTTAAAAGGGGGATTTCAGAGAATGGTCTCATTTGGCATCTAAGTCAGTCCCTATACTTACTACTCCTGTTTTTTAAAACAACATGTATCAATTTTTCCTTCAAAAAATCAACACTAGTCTTCTCGTCATTTAAACACATACAAAAAAGGCTTTGATACACAGGACAGGTTGTATATCTGGAAATAGCACCAGAAAGAAATGCCTGTGGCCCTAAGAATGAGTTTGACAAGACCAAGTCAAAGGGAATAAATAACACCCCATCACATTAACTTGAGCTTATAAATCCCCCAGAGTTCCAGATCTAGGGGTAACGTGACAAAATTCTCTCCTTATGTGACTGATACTGATAGAATCAGTCACAGTGGTTTGAAGAGTATGTCTCTTTGAGCTTTGACATCCTCTTTGAAACTTTTGTAACAAACGATCACGTATCTTTGTTCCAGAAACCTTTAAAATATATTCTTGGTAAATTTCTCAAAAGCACTGACATGGAAACATCTACATAAGCACTGTACAACAGAAATATAATACAGTCCAGAAAAGTATTTTAAAATTATCTTTAGAAAGCAGAAACAGGAGAAATTAATTTTAATAATATAGTTAACCTAATATATCAAAATATTTCAAGATGTGTTCAACACTGTAAGTATTGGTGAGATATTTTATTCATACTATTTGCATAAAATAGTATAATCTGTAATATTTGTAGTATTTTTATAATAGTTTGCACTAAGTCTTTAAAACCCAATGTTTATTGTATATTTACAGTACATGTTAATCTAAACAGGCCACATTTCAAATACCCACTAGCCACATGTGGCTCCACCTATACTGGATTATCACACCTATATCATTATGAAAAGGGAGCAATGAAAAGAAAAATAACAAGCATCAGTGCAAGACCTGAGTGTAATCCTTCAACTTGTTCTGCCAAAAAGAAAAATGAAATGAAATTTTGCTTGTGAAAATGTTCTGATAGGTTACACAATAAAGAAACTACTTTTAAATTTTAGTAGAATTTTCCGTCACCCCTTCATCCCCTCTCAGTCAAGATCCTCAAGCCTGATGGGTTCTATGAACTATGAAAAAAGAGACAGACAGCCTCATTGAAATCTCTTCAGGCTCAGCCACAACCAAACCATTTTACCCTAGTTTCCTCTCTGTTTCTCAGAATTTCTGTTTGCTTATCTCCTCTGCAAATAACGTTCAACCAGACTGGTTTAAAAAAAAAAAAAAAAGCTATCAGAATGCAAATTGTAATGTCAAAAATATCCCTCAGAGAAGCGAACCTACATGGGATTTCCCAAAACACAAAGCCAGGTTATGGGAAACTGAGGCTTCCTCATCATCTAAATTTTTCAACCAGTCCACAAAATCTAATAAATTAGCCAATAACATTCTAAGAAATAGAAGGACAATGGTATTATAAATACAGATGTTTTTAAAGAAAACAATTTCTAACTTTAATTGCTAACAACCTCTCCTTTATTTTAACAGATACTGTGGATTTTTTTTTTACTGACACACCATCCTTACTTTCCCTCAAGATGACAAACAGCTCTTTCTTCTGCCCAGTTTACAGCAATCTGGAGCCATTCCCATATTTCTTTTATTTAATTTTCCTTGTTGGAATTATTGGAAGTTGTTTTGCAGCTTGGGCTTTCAAAAAGAACACTACCAATCACAAGTGTATAAGTATATACTTAATTAATCTGCTTACAGTTGATTTTCTACTCACTCTGGCATTACCAGTAAAAATCACTGTTGACCTGGGTGTGGCACCCTGGAAATTAAGGATATTCCACTGCCAAGTAACAGCCTGCCTCATTTACATTAATATGTACTTATCCATTATCTTCCTAGCATTTGTCAGCATTGACCGCTATCTCCAGCTGACACATAGCTACAAAATTTATCGAATACAAGAACCTGGATTTGCCAAAATGATATCTACAGTTGTGTGGCTAATGGTCCTTCTTTTAATGGTGCCAAATATGGTGATTCCCATCAGAGACATTGAGGAAAAGCTAAATGTGGGTTGCATGGAATTCAAAAGGGAGTTTGGAAGAAACTGGCATTTGCTGACAAATTTCATAAGTTTAGCGATATTTCTAAATTTCTCAGGCATCATTTTAATATCTAACTTCCTCGTTATTCGACAACTCTACAGAAACAAAGATAATGAAAATTATCCAAATGTGAAAAGAGCTCTCACCAACATACTTTTAGTGACTACTGCCTATATCATCTGTTTTGTTCCTTATCACATTGTCCGAATCCCATACACCCTGAGTCAGACAGAAGTCATATCTGATTGCGCAACCAGGATTTCACTCTTCAAAGCCAAAGAGGCCACTCTGCTCCTCGCTGTGTCAAACCTCTGTTTTGATCCAATCCTGTACTATCATCTTTCACAAGCATTCCGCTTGACGGTCACCGAGACTTTCGCTTCACATAAGGAGATGAAGACAAAGGATGAAAAATCAAGTTGTGAAAACAATGCATAAGATATAGCATCTTCATACTATTGCTATCACTTCATGACTTACTGGACGATAAGTAGAAAACTACACAAAAATAGAAAAAAGAACCTAAGTAAAAATACAGACATAGCAAGCAAATGTGGCCTGGTTGACTTACAAATCATGTTTCTAAATGCATGTCAAACAGCATTCTTGTGGTTGTTGATGCTCCGTAACCAATTATTTGTACAAGAAAATATTTAAAGTCTTGCTAAACTAATGTAAAACCCTGAAATATCCTTGAAATTCAAATGAGGTCTATGAGAGAGACTCAGAGGTACTCATTTAATGCCTGAAATTGACTTCTTGATAGAAATATGCAAAATAACCTCCATTAAGTTTCTAGTCCCTCAACAACAAAATTTAAAGCGCTTTAAGATCACTTGGGGAAAAAAAGGCCAGTGGATTTTTGTAAGAAACCACCAGTGCCTGATTTATTAATCCATTACTTCAGAGACAATCTTTTAACTTACTGCTTCATTTTTATTATCTAATTATTTTCTAACAAAAATTTTTATTTCCAATAAAGGCAGGAAATACATAATTTTAATGTACTATATATACTTATATTTCAACCATAGATTATAAAGATATTTTACTGCTAGTAATGAAAAATCCAGTGACTTACTATTTTTAGTTTGCAGTAATATGAAACAGACTATGTAACATTTTTAAAGGGAGTTGCTAAATTATACTAACTGCTAAAAACTACTGTTTTGGAACTAGAAACACACATCAAAGGTACAAAAAAATAGCATTAATGAAATGGTCTTAAAATTTACATGACATTCCATTGAACCAGGCCTTGTTAGGAAGTAGCATGCTGATGATGAGGTTGATTATCACTGGAGCCAGCATTAAAGTATGGGTGACCCCTGCTCATGTGGGTTCCCATTCTTTGATCAAATTCTTTGTACTGCTAGTGATGCAATTAAGACTTACTCAGAATAAAAATGGAAAAGTTCAGATAAACATGCATGAGACCCTGTGTTTATTTTCATTTCAATAGTCAAAGCTCATATTAAAACAACTGGTAATACATTTTCATTAGTCTCAATGATTAATAAGTGTTAATGACAGTTAATAAAACAGTTTGATTCCAAAGTTATTTTTAGTTCAGCATTGAGAAAAACACAGAAACTTACTTTCTGAAACTTAAATCCAAGACGACCCCTGTCTATAATTTCAAATATATATTCTCTGAGTTTGAAGAAAATAATTTTTAAAAAGTACACAATAACTTACCTATTATAAAACTTGTATCATGATACATAGTGGTGAACAAGTTCTAGTAAGTATTAATGACAGGAACCCCATCAGCATCACAAATCTGACACAGGACATGAGCAGCTTACCTAAGGCACAGCTGGTAGGATGTATGCGCAGCAGAACCTGCACTTGCTGAAATCTAAGATCATGTGTTTTGATGAGAAGAGTGAGATAGTTTTCATGTAACAGTATATATAAAACTAGTTTATTATTGTGGATCTTTTGGTCAAATACCTTTTATTTCTCTCTCTCCTTGGTTTCAATTCACCAGGACTATATCTTGGAGTTTTGGTTTTCTTTCTTTAATCATATTCTTATATTCACCTCACATGCATTATAAGTTAATAAAGTTCCCTTTTATATTGAGAAAGAGGATCACACTCTCTACAGCATTCAAAATATCAATGTCATGTTATTTATCCTTTTGTTTCCCCTATTGGTTGCTGATTCTAAATTATGCTCACAGTAAAGGGGATTTAGAGCAACTGGTGATGGAAGACTACTGAAAAATTGCACGCTACAATATCAAATTTCTAGTAGTTCTTTTATGGTTGAATTACAGTTAAAATATCATGAGATTTAGTAATCAGAAATTATCATGCTCTTTCCTCTAAGAAAGTGGCCAGTCATTAGAATACTAAATGCGAGGATATGCAGCCAAGGTTCACATGAACAACAGAGCAAAGGGATCCATCCATGGGTAGTAGCCACTCCAACACCCAGACACACTGAAGAGGGAGACCTGCAAAGCTCTGCTCAGCCAGAGGGAGCACGGAATCTCCACAAGTTTCAACATTTGCCATATCGGCTCCATTATCTCCCTCCTTCTTTTTTCCTTTTTATTTCAAACAAACTTTTTATTTTGGAATAATTGCAGATTTATAGAAAAGGTACAAAGGCAGTACAGAGTACCTACATACCCTTTGAGTCAGTGTTGCCCGAGTGTTGAAGTCTTCCATAACTATAATACATTTGTCAAAACTAGTAAATTAACATTAGTACACTACACTAAACTCCAGACTTTTAATATTACTCCCTTTTTTATTCTATTTTAAAACAACTCCTAGACACACATCAAGAACCAATGTAGTCTTCAGGATATATCTCTAAAATGCCAGATCACTATCTCTGATCCCCTAAACAAACACTGAGATTATTCTACCAGGTTGAAGACAAATAATGCCGACAGATAAGTGCTGACTGGAAAACAGCAATCTAGTCAGCCAGTTATGGCCAGGAAGAAATTCTGGCGACTTCTGACATAACCTCAGACATAAAAGAACCAAGTAAGCTCCCTTAATGGTAAAAAGAAAATACCTGGGTACAGTGATTTTGAAGTCATTTCACAGGATATTCCAAAATAATCCAAAAGTAAATAAATTTAAAGAAATATTTAGATAAAAACTTCTAAAAGATACCCACCCAGGAAATAACATAATTTACCTCACAATTATGTTTTTGTTACAACAACAACAAGAGTAGTAATCATCGGGAAAATAGCTAGTAAACCTAAGAATTAAAAATAAAAACATTTAAAGACTTTGGCCTAATTTTCAGCATTATTATCATAGGACTAATCTTGTTGCCCTTTAGAATAAAGAACATCACTCTTATGACTCAAACATTTAATTTCCTGACAAGTATTTCTCATGTGCTATTCAGTTCTTTAACTCTACAGGTTAAAATCCAATCCATATACAAGTCTCATATACAACTTCATCTATGACATCTTACCCAATTTCTTTGAGAGCCTCTCTCACCTATAATATTTATACTTTCAGGTAAGAATCTCAAATGGTTCACCTTCCAGTAGACAGTTTTTACTCTATTACTGAACTTATAGTAGTGATTTATTATTTTGTAGACATTTGTTTCCCTCCTATCTTATTCATCTTTCCTGTGCCCCAAAATTCTTACTTATCTGTATAATGCCAAAAGTACAGTACACATAAAATCTACTCAGAAAATGACTTTCATATTGAAGTAGGAAAACACATATTTAGATATTGTTTGCAGTGACTCAAATGTTCCTGATTAAATGATAATAATATAGAAAATTCCATTAAATCTAGCTAGCCAGTAACATCACACCCAAATTTGGACTACATCAGTACATTAGCAATGTGATCAGAATTATAACCAAAGAAGCAGCAAATACAAAAACTCACTCACTATCCTATGTATCGCTCAGTCAAGCAGCAGAATAATTAAGATTTAATGATCCTAGAATGAAATAATTATGACTTACCAGAGGTATGGGAAAATGTGTTGCATACTGCAGGTGACGTAGGAGGTCATAATTAGATGGAAAAATTAACTCCCTTGGTTTCTCTCTCTTCAGCAACTTCTCACCATTAACTGACATTCGTCTGCCCAAAGCAGTGGCATTCTCACAGGACTCTCCAGGCATGGGAGAAAAAATCTAAGTCATGTAAGACAAACATTGGAGATTGTAAATGAAATAGAGCAAACTGCACCACAGTCCTGCATATCAGAACTTCAAACACAACAGCAACTCATTTAAGGACTGGGTAAAATATATAAAGAAATTGTATTCATTGCTGCAAATTTTATATTCATATCAGTAGGAATCTGTTTACATGATCCCCATTTTGAAGATGGAAAAATGCCACACACATGCAGAGCTACACTTCTCAGATAGTCAGAGATAAAATCAGATCTATAGTTAAGCATCTTCCTCATAGGGCTACATTTCCTACAAAAAAAATACACTGAAATATTTAACTAATAAAATTAATGATTAGACAGAAAGCAATTAGTCTATACCACAACCGTTTTTGTTTTTTTGTTTTTTTTTTTTTTTCCCACAGAAAAACACATTAAGATCCATGAGGAAGAATACTCAGTGATTATACTGATATAAAGTAGAAGAATGTATGACTGTAAACAAGTCCAGAGCCAGGTCAGTGGCTATACAGAATCTGAACACATGCTTAGCAATTCAACATAGACTCACATGATGATACTACACTCATGTATTCCTGACCTGTAATGATTTTAAATGAGAGAATCACAGACAGTGAAGTAGGAGAGCAGAAGTGTTATAATTTACAAAGGCGGCAATGCAACCATAACTGAGTATGAGTTGAAAGGACACAGCACAAGATGAGAGTCCTTGGGTGGCATGTGGTAGGATAACATTCACATCACAAGTACATAAGTCCTTATAGTAAATGGAGGAAGAAACAAAAGGACAGAGAGACAAGCTGGGGCTTGGGGAAAGGAGGTTAATAATCAATAAGAATTCAAAAGTTGAACCTACTGGAAATTCCGAACCAAAGTCAGTTTTAAAGTCACTCTTGTCTACTTCATCAAAAATATTAGTGGTTCCTGAGTCAATGCCCATATGTGCCATAATAGTCTGTTCCTGATAATCATCAGAAAAAGAAAGTCACGCTGTAAATTTTGTAGTTCATTAAGAAATTAAAGTGAAAACATAATGGTGACATTTTTAACCATCTTATATCTTTTTTCTTCCCAGTATCCCTTTTCCCCCAATAAAGAGAAGGGAATATTAAGATAGGCATTACTGTGCAATGTCACATTTTATGTCCTCACAATGAGACTGATGATTATTAACTTGTATGATATTTTAAAGGAAGAGCATACAAACTGCCTGATTAAAAACAAACTGATCATAGGGCCTCCCCAGTGGCAGTGGCACAGCAGTTGAGCACTGGGTTGCAAGGCTGCCCACAGCTTCTGCGGCACCGGTTCGATCCCCGGCTGCTCCCCGGCCACCGGAAGAGGGTCCCACATGGCGTGCAGACCTCTCCTGCCGCCCGCAGCTCCCCTCAGCAGTGTACTTCGGTCCTTCTGCCTGCTCTGCTCCCCGTTCTGGTTCTGGTGAATTCTCTCACCCTCCCGCGCTTCTGACTGTACCCAGTGCTTGTATAAATAAAATATAAATAAATAAATCTTTTAAAAAAAAAACTGATCATAATTTCCTTCTTAGAGCTATTCCCAATCACATGGCCATCAACTTTTCTTAGTCTAAGAGTATATCGATGACATTCTAAGACATAAGATAACTTGATATCCAAGAACAGAAAAGAAAAAGCAGAAACACGTAAAGAAACTTCCGTTTTTGCCATTTATAACATCTACAGTGGAAAATTTGAAAAAAGTATTTACATTGAATAAATCACTTTTTAAATCCCTGCACCATTTGGTCACCAAATCTTAAGAGTATAAACTATGGATCCAACTCCTATGTCAGGTTTTAGAATATTATTTCAGAAACATTATAATTACTGTTATAGAAATAGCATTATGGTATATGTTTCAACTCTAAGAGAATCAATGAGGTTTTATTTTTAAGGAACTATCACAATTTCTCACTATTTTCTATTTGCCATCACCTCTTTCATGTTTCTGCCTTGAAAATGTCCATAAGTAACTGGGAATTGGCAGAAAATTAAAAAGCCACACCGTACAAAATACTTTCTTTAAAAAAAAACTACAACATTTGAGAGATTAAATGTTTAATTAACTGAAAGGAAAATATGATATGCAAAGACTAAAAGAGAATCTTCCCTTACACGTGACAGAATGACACACTGGAGAAAAGATTCTCCTTAGAATGAAAACTCAGTCAGGAAGTTAGGGCAAAAACAAGTCCAATTTTGAGGCACAATTTTAAGGAAAACTGGAAACCAGAAATACATAAAACTGGAAGCACATAATTCTAATCCAATGAAAAATTTTATGGAAAAATCTTTTCATTAATAGTTGCAGAGCATCCAAAGAATTTTTCAAGAGAAAATTTTGGAAAATATAAGTTATAGTTCAAATATCTTTCTTGCATGAGGAATAGAGATAAACATACTTTGTAACAAAAAAAGACAACTAAAAATGTGATCACCCTTCTACCACCAAACTATGCTTCTGAAAGTTGTTCCCCGGCAGAGGTTAGTTTCCAAGGGCTGGGGTGCTACTCCTGGAGTCATACCTCCATTTTCACATCATGGTCCTTTGGGTAGTGTTCATCTGCATTTTCTCCTGCTGGTGACTGAGGCTGAGTGGAGGCAGTAACTGACAAGTCCCCTCGAGATATAAGGGTGCACATGTAGGCATCATGGGAGAAGACATCGTGGCGGATGAACTCGCAGAAGAGCAGCACCAGGTTCACAAATTCCACCTTTTCACATTCACTGTTTGGATCCGCTATCGAGAAACAAATTAAAGCAAGAATTCAGTCCCCCTGGCCTATTAGAAACAATAATCAAACATTAAAGTTTAACAATATTTTCACTACTTCTCCTTTATTTTTTACAAAACAGTCACTGGAAATTTTACTATGAAGCACTAGCATTTTGTGAAGAACTGCTCAGTTTTTGACTGTCCCACTGTAACTGAAAAATCACATCTAGCATGCTAAGTACAATGTCAAATTTAAAGACTGTGGACCCTGACAAAGAAGCAGCATTTAAATAATAATGTAAAAGCACAGTATTGCAGGTTAAAAAAAAAGCAGAGCTAGTCTGCTTACCTCTGGTTTTACCATTAAAATAACTCATGATTATTCTTCCATAACTTGAGTTTGCCTATATATTTGTAGGAGACACAGGCACACTTTCTCAAAGGACATGTCACAATAGAACCACAATTCAAAAGGTATGTGAAAAGACTAGTGAGTGGAGGGCCTCCCCGGTGGCGCAGCGGTTGAGCCCTGGGTTGCGAGGCTGCCCGCAGCCGCTGCGGCACCGGTTCGATCCCCGGCTGCTCCCCGGCCACCAGAGGAGGGTCCCGCATGGCGCGCAGACCTCTCCTGCCGCCCGCTGCTCCCCTTAGCAGTGTACTTCGGTCCTTCTGCCTGCTCTGCTCCCCGCTCTGGCTCTGGTGAATTCTCTCACCCTCCCGTGCTTCTGACTGTACCCAGTGCATGTATAAACCAAACAAACAAATAATAAATAAATAAATAAGACATGCCTCTAGAAAATTAAAAAAAAAAAAAAAAGACTAGTGAGTGGAGTCACTAAAAAGAAGGGGAAATGGGAAAAAAAATGATGGCACAAGGGGTTAAGAGGCAACCTATGAAGCTATCCGCAGACACTGCAGCAAGAGTTCATTCCCCAGCCAGGGAGCTACCCACATGGCACAGCAGACCTCTCCTGACTTGCCCACTGCTCCCCTCAGCAGTGTATTTCGTCAGTCTGCCTGTTCTGCTCCCCACACTGTCTCTGGTGTATCCTCACAGCCCCTGCACCTCTGGCCTGTACCCCACTTCTTGTATGCATAAATAAGTAAATCTTAAAAAAAAAAAAAAGACTAAATCTGCAAAGCTTATTTCTGTACCATCACAGTCACAAAACATCAAGAAGAAACGAAGAGTTCCAGGGAGCACTTAGTGTAGCTCGCCAAACCTTAAGCCCAAATTTCTCCTGTCACCTACCACCAAACTCAAGACAGGCAGTCTCTACCCAGAGAAACAGTGTTCTCTAACAGCAGTAAATGGGATACATACCAGCAGTAAATAGGATACACAGGAGAACTTTTATCCCAAAGAAAGAACAGGCATTGGAAATAAGATGAGGGAAGCAAAGGGAGACTGTGTATCACCCCAGGATACAAGACTAGGTAGAGATGCTCACCTCCACTCCTGACAGCATACTTTCTATCACTTGGGGTCTCCTCTACTCTTTCATTTTTCTGCTTCCTTTCCTACACTTCATTACTATTCCCTACGGCAAACCAACAGCTTGGTTCTGGCTCTGGCTCTCCCCCAGCCTAAAGCATCCAGCACATAACTACAAGAGAAAGCCCTTGTCTCCAAAAACCTCATCCCAACAAGTCACTCCACCCCCAAAATGAGGCTGCCTCAGAGGAAACAAAAGCAGTACTATTTCATGTACCTTTACCACTTTTTCCATTCCCTCCATCTCCATTCTTTTTTCCCCTTTCTGTCACTTTCCACTTTTACTGATTTCTTATTGTCTCATCAATATCTGAACTAAAACTCTTCCTGCTGTACTTCATTATATGAAAGCCTCAGAATAATATCAAGTCCACTTAGTTCACACAAATGATTTTCTTAGTGTCCAACTGTTACATCAACACATTCGTGGGGTACTTAATTCCTCAAATCTCAGATTCCCCAGCAACAATACAATAAAAGAAAAAGAATGTGAATAACCCAGGTATCGGAGAGAACAGACAAGCAGTTTACCAGCCCATACAACTTTTTCCCTTATAACAAGGACCTCATTATAAAGCACTTTTAATTTTTCTCCACTTTTAAAATTAAGAGTTAGAAACCAGTAATTGAGCAAACAGTTCAAAAAGAGAAATTCTGTATCACAATACACAGTGAAATACCACAGGACCTTAGTTCCTCTATTTTGACAAGAAAGATTTAAAAAGGGAAAATAAGTCCATTAAATATAAGGGAATGAGGTGACTTTTTTTAATTATTAAACTCTGGAAATTTTTTAAGTCTTTGAGGATTGCCTGATTTTAAAATTGCATAAACATCTCCATTGGGAACAGGCTACAAAATTTTGTTCAGTAAAATATACATTGTACTCAATGACAAGAACTTTGTATAAGATACAAATATGGAGAGAAAAATCAGTAGAAAGAAATGGTTAATCCCTTATTTAAGATCTAGAAGCAGAGTTTTACTTACACAGTGAGGGGGCCTGGGTATCTAAAAATCTTAGCAGAACATTCTGGAAAACAGGCAAACTAGATCCAGCAAGAGAGGCTGAAGAAATGGACTCCTTCTCATCTAAGACCTCTGATTCACCACATCTCTAAGATTCAAAATAAACAAGCACAGTTAATTATGGAGAGCAAGTATAGTTATAATGGGTCATAAATTATTAGTTTCTTTTACTGATATTTAAGTTCTCAGATAAAACACATAAAATTAATTGAGATTTCTGCACTTAAGGGTCATGCCCTCAAATAAATATAATTTCCAAAAGTTAGAGAAAATTAGCCCAGAACATTTCAAATAAATTCAAAGAACACCAGTGAAAAACAATATCCAAGGAAATTATAAACTCTGTACATGATTAGTATCCACTGAGTATACAGCCCAGTACTATAAACTACTTATTATCCTTAAGAAAATTTGCTAAAAGTTGAGGTTTTCTTCACTTTTAAATCGCTTCCCCCTGAGAAAGATTTGAGCATGTATATTTGAGGTTGATTCCTTGGCATTTGATTTTTGTCAGGCGGATTTCTTTAGTAGTATACCTGGGGAACTACAGTGCTGAATCAGAACTCGAGCACAATTCCTGTAAAGAGATTCCTTCACTTATTCATCATACTTCAACAGTTAGATCCCTCAGGACCTCCTGAAGTCTCCATAATTCATAAGACACATATAGAATGGCTCTTTGACATCTGCAATCTTAAAGACAGAACTTACTAGAAGAACAGAAGAGTTTAGAAGCATTTTTACGATTTATTCTTGAATATTATTCCTGCAATCTATCCTCTCTTTACAAAGATCTAACTTTGAAAATGATATTTAACATAAATCAATTATCTTGGCCAAAAATATTATTAAGCCTTAGTAAATGCATTGAGTTTTTAGATATGAATGCATTTATATTTGAATATTATAAAGCAACCTATATGTGAACCTCTTCTATAAGTAAGTGTGTGTGTGTGTGTGTGTGCGCACGCGCGTGTGAGTGTGTTCTGGGACACGTGGTGGGGAGGAATAGACAAAAGCAGCAACCCAGAAGGAGCAATAATATTTATGAAACCTTGCAATTAATACTCTAGTAATTGAATGATTACTGGAAAAAAAAAGTCTACTCATAAACATGCGGAAAAAAGCAATGAACTGTTTTTTCTAATTTGCACATTGTAAAATGGACAATGTGATTTATACTTTATGATCAGTATCTTTATTAAAAAAAAAAAGGAAACAAAAACTTAAAGTTATAAGAACAAAATGGGGTTGACACAGAGCAAAAGGGCGGGGATGGGTACATTGGGTGTAGCAGGTGGACTGTTTGGGAACTAGTTCTGGTGAAGATCAAGATGCAGTATATACAGTTGTTAAATTATAGATGTATATATGCTGTACACCTGAAACTTACACAATGATTTAAACTGTCACTCCTACAAAAATTTAAAAATTTTAATCTAAGACTACATTAAAAATGCAAATTTAAAGAAAAAAAAAAAGATCAGTATCTTCAAGTGCCAGTTTCAACAAAGTCGTTTTTTGCACTTTGTAAACACTTTCCCAACAGGAGGCAAAAGACATCCTTGAAAATCATCGTCCTATTTTAGTTTTAATAACTTCACTAGAAATCAGGGCATTGTCAGTAACAAGACCACTAAGTCCCCATCCATTCATGTAATAAACATCTTCTGAGCACCTACTGTGCATCTGGGTACCAATGAACAGGGTGGGTGAGGTCCCTGCTATCAGTATTACATCCTAGCGGGGCTGGGCAAGCATTCAACAATTAGCCCATGAGTGATGGAAGGAAGGCTGGCTGAGTGTTAATTCAGGAAAGATGGTGAGTGGAAATCTTCTTGAGATATAACACACATTGAGCCAGAAATGCCACAAAGGAAATGACATTTTGTGAAACAGGAATGTAAAATAAAGACTGGGAAGCAGAGTATGCCACTGAAAAGGAACAGCAAGAGCAAGGCCCCAAGATAAAAGTTAGAACAGTGTTAAAGGGAGAGGAAGGACACAGTAACTGGAGTAAAGTGGGAGACAAGGTATGAAGGCAACAGGGACAGTTCATGGGGGGGCAGAGTAAAGAACTGTCAGGAGTTTTAGTCAGGGGACAGACAATGTCAGCTGTCTCTATTTTGAAAAGACAACTCTTGCTGCTGTTTAGGGTATCAGTAGGGAACAGGAAAGACCAGAGAGACAAGACTGGAGGAATCGCTGTTGTCCAGAGAGATGACAGATCTTTACACACCTTTTCAGAGCCCTTCCCACTAAATCTCAAAACAGAAAAGACAGCTCACAAATAATCTGCTTCCATGACTCACTCTTCTCCTGGGGCTAGGACACAATCTCAAAAACTCATATAAACTGGTATCTATAATAATGGCCATAACTGCCTCAAGAAAGCTTCTTCCAGATCCCTTGGAATATTGTGTAGTTTTCAAATTTATAAAGGTTGACACATATTATATACATTTCTATTTATAGATATGTGTACAAACACATGATATGTGTGTACAAACACATATGATATGTGTACAAACACATATGATATGTGTACAAACACATATGATAGAATATATATGTACATATGGGTGTGTGCATCTTAACCTTACAAAGGGAGATTTCTTTGTTCTAAATCATTTGGTAAAGTTTTGCTTTAATACATACTATTTTAAATTAGTCCAGAATGTAAATTATTGGCATCATCAACACTGAGGAATACTGCTAGGGAACACTTGCATAAATTTATACATTTTCCCTTTTTCCTTCAAGAGAAAATATCATAATGAGGGGAGGTAAAAATACTGTTTTGGGGAGAGCAAAGTCCCCATATATTTTTATATGATAGCATTCAACAATTATAAAACTGAACCTACCTCTGCCTCGATTTCCGCTTGCCTCTTCTCCAAGAGCTTCGCCACAGCCATTGCCCTGTGCTTGCCTGACCGCTTACAGCTCACAGCCCATTCACACAAGAGTGTCACCACAGCTTCATCGTTGGGGGCAATCTGATGACCGAGAGAAATGGGTACCAGCCAAGTCAAGTGAAACATTAACCAAATGAGAGCAAGCAATGCAATATATATAGCTCTAAAGTTTTTTCTAATATTTTTACTACTCATTTATCATCTTTAGTTGACATATAAAGAGTAAAACTTTTATAATCAAAAGGAAATCAATTACATAAAACAGTCAAGTTGTGACAATTCACAGATTTGTTTTTCTTGAATAGTCCTTCACTTACAAAGGGTAAAACCTGACCTCATCAATCCTCCAAAACTCAGTTTTAGAAAGGGAAACCAGCCACTGAATATCCAGAGCAGCTGTTGCAAAGCCTAAGAACTGCATTCCACTGCTGACTCCCCCAGGTGACCACTCACAGACTCATATGGTACTTACTCTGAAAAAGCCAGGCTGTCAAATCACGCAGGTTAATGAGGAACTGGAAAGAACAACTGAAAGGGAAGCTGGAAAGCTAATCAAATTCAGCACTACAAACAGCAAACATAGGACCTCGCTGGTGGCCTAGGGGTTAAGTCTCAGCGATATCACCACCATGGCCAGAGTTCTATTGCTGACCAGGGAGCTAACCCACATCTGGACAGCAGACCTCTCCAGTGAATCCTACTACACCCCGCACCTCCGGCCTACACCCCAGTTCTTCTAAGCAAAAAAAAAAAAAAAAAAAAAAAAAAAACAACCAAAACCAGCAAACATAAAAAATGACAGCCAAGTATCAAAAAGGAACACAAATTAAGAGCAGACAAAGCTATAACAGAGGATAATACTCTGCATCTAAGTAGGCCTTGCCACAGCCCCACAACTATCCACCAGATTTGCTGTGACCTAGAAATAGGCTGAGGATAAGAGGAGTCAAAGAAAGATCACAGGGACCCCAGAGACATGAATGGAAGAAAAGGGACAAGGACAGGAGGTGAGTCAGAGTGGGTAAGTCAGGCTCGGCGGCCTACACTTCCTTGAGAGGATTCATGCTGACCAGTGGAACACAACCACAAGTTTTTAATATTTGCCCAACTATATAAACATCACACCAAAGGCTCTATATTTAGTAATAGCATTTAACTCGTATAAAAAGTTTTTAACATTTTAGAATCCACAGCTCAATTAAGATTATGCATTTAACTAGGGGCCTTCCTGGTGGCACAGGGGTTAAAGACAGCAATATCAAGCTATCCCAGCCACTGCAGCATGAGTTCGATCCCCCCAGACGCTGGCCAGGAACAACCCATATGGCGCAGCAGACCTCTCCTTTCTCACCCGCTGCTGCCCTCAGCAGTGTATTTTCAGTAAATCACCTGTTCTTCTCCCCACTCTGTCTCTGATGAATTCTCTCACCACCACCACTTCTGGTCTGCACCTCAGTTATTATATACATAAATAAATCTTTAAAAAAAAAGATTATGCTAATTATGAGCACAACCACTAGGAAAATATATATACATGCATCCATAAAATTAGCACATTTCAGAGGGTCTGTGAACTCTGGGAAGATATCCAAGAATCCCAGGATAAGAATCCCTGACCAGGCCTCCCTGGTGGCGCAATAGGTTAAGCACCGCGCTGTGGAGCTGTCTGCTAAGCCAGCCTCTGCAGCAGGGGTTCGATTCCCGGCCGGCCAGGGAGAAACCCACATGACGTGGCAGACTTCTGCCTCTCCCCACTGCTCCCCTCAGCAGTGTCTTTGGTCTGTCTGCCTGTTCTGCTCCCCGCTCCGTCTCTGGTGAATTCTCTCACCCTCCCGCACCTCTGACCTATACCCCAGTTCTTGTATAAATAAATAAATCTTCAAAAAAAATAATAATCCCTGACCAGTTTTTAGATACTAGCAAACAATTCAGCTGATAAAAATCAGTTTATTCCCAAATTTTTTTTACTTATTCTACCCTGTTTTAAGTCTAAACACATGTAGACTTAAAAGAAAGATATGTTAATTTATCTAGAGCAGGTGTCTCAGAAGGAGCTCTGGGTTTCTGAATTTAAAACGAGAAATAATTCAATTAAAATATATAAAGATGGACCATTTTAAAAGGAAAGCAAACTGGGGGGAATTCCTGTCTAGACTTAGTCTAATCCAGAGAAAAGTAAAAATAGAAGAGTTAATCCAGTGACGCACATAGAACTAAATTTAGAATGTTAAATAGAACAAAAGAACTTACCCTAATTATACTGCCATCACTTTTTGAATTAGTAATGTGCATGATATCCACATTTATAAGGACTTTTAAAAATATTTCCTCTACATCAAAAAAAAAAAAATAGAAATAAGCTACAAAAGAATAAACCACTGACTCACACAACTTAAGTAATGGGCTTACCTTGACCTAGAGCCATAGGGGAAATTATGTGATGAAAAGGCTGCTACTTAACATGTGAAAATATGACCACTGTTTTGAGACAATGGGTTAGAAAATAAGTCAAGCCCAAAAACACTTACTATGAACCCATGATAAAGTAGGCACTAAAAAAACAAAAAGTTCATCATGTGCTCAATAAGTTCACCTTCTAGAAGAAAAAGGAAAACTACACAATCATAAAAGGAGCCATTCTGTTAGTGTAGAGATGTTCCTGCCCTCATGCATCTCTTAGGTGGTAAGTATAGTTCTGCTGCAGCCCATAGAAAACTGCATCTTACTTTGAAGAAAGACCTTAGTCTTCTTGCTGCAGATGTGGTCTCAAAGTGTTAGGAATTAAATGTATTAAGAATATGAGGGATGGGCCTCCCTGGTTGTGCAAGGGGTTAAAATGCAACCTATGGAGCAATCCACAGCCACTGCAGCATGAGTTTGATCCCCAGCCAAGGAGGTGACCCACATGGCATAGCAGACCTCTCCTGACTTGCCCGCTGCTTCCCTCAGCAGTGTATTTCAGTCAATCTGCCTGTTCTGTTCTCCACTCTGTCTCTTGTGAATCCTCTCACACCCACCCCCCGACACTTATAGCCTGTACCCCAGTTCTTGTATGCATAAATAAATCTTAAAAAAAAAAAAGAATATGAGGAAAATGAGGCTGTAAGACTCAGTTTTGAAAATAAAACCTAACACAGAAATTGTCCCACCTTCATATCAACAATGTCCATAAAGATACACATTTCAAAATTTATTTTCAACCGAATGGCCAGATTCCAGTAGTACAAAGTCCACTTCTTTGTGAATACCAAATAGCTCCAAATAATCTCATTCTTTCCTGCATACTGCATTGGTGGAGAATAAGAAGCAGGAAGAGTCTGTGCAGACATTTTTCACAAAGCAGTAAGATAGTCCAAAAGAGGATTTATGACAACTTATACAAACATCTCAGAAAATAATATTGAAATATCAGGTCATATTACACCAATATGAAAGCAAGCTCTTTCCATTTGCTCTTCATTATTGAAAAATTATGTTGGTTATACTTTTTTTTAAATTTTAGGATTGTTTTTCAAGTTAACATCCCATTAAAAACTTCCCCACACTATTTAATAGGAAATTTGGGGTCACATTTAAGTGGATTTACCCCCAATTATTAAAAGTAAGTAGGATACCTGTTGATGCAACTCCAAAGAACAGTTCCAAGGAATATTCCATCAGATTTATTCAACACACATACAGACACCCACCCCTTGTCCACACTTTCCAAATACAGATGCCTCATACTGCCACTGCTCTTCATTGATCAACTTCTAGAAAATCATCTATCTGCCAGAAGATGCTGCCTTATATTAATTCAAAAAACTTTCATCAGGACTTCCTGATTTCACACACACACACACACATAAATGTATGTATGTGTATATATATGTATATATATATACACACACACATATATATGTTAAAATGCATTCTCATCCTGAAAACAAATTTCTAAAAACATCAAGCTTTTTTTAAAATAACCAACAATTGCTTAAGTGAAATTTAGTATCATTTTATTAATTTATTTATGATTGTATTTTTATTCTATTATTTATTTTTAACTTTAAGGCAAAACTGAAGCAATTTAGTAGCTCAACATAAGAACTAAAGAGAGCTCAGGCCTTCAACAAGATGGCAATTAAGTGGAACAGACATACATGTACATAGTTTGGATGTGTAAAAAAGAGCATGAAAATTATCTCAGAAGGACAATAGACTTCAACAGGAGCAGAAAGAGAAGAGTGAAAGGAATTATTAAGTGTTTCTTTTAAAAGGTGGCTTTCAAGAAAGTTCATTAAGAATGAGCTAAATTTCAAAACAGAAATAAACTAAAAAATAAAGTCTGGGGTAGGCAGTATAACAGCTCCTCCATTTTCCCTACCCAAGATGTTCACATCCTAATTCTAGGACCTGTGCATATGCTACCTTAACTGACAAAAGGGACTTGTGGTTGTTACTAATTAAGGATTATGAGATGGGGGGATCTATCCTAGAATATTGGGTAGGGTAGACATGTAATCATAGGAATGCTTAGAGGGGAAAAAGAGGGACAGGAGAATTACAAAAATAGTTTTGACAACAAAAGCAGAAGTCAGAGTCAGGAAGAAATCTGAAGCTAATATGCTGTAGACTTTGAAAATAGAGTCAGGGTAAATATAACAAGGAATGCAGGTGACCTCCCAGAGCTGGAAAGGGCAAGGGAACAGATTCTCCCTCACAGCCTCCAGAAGGAACACAATCCAATGAACAGCTTAATTACAATGAACAGCCATGTTAAGAGCCTAACATCAAGAACTATAGGAGAATACATTTTTGTTATTTTCAAGTCACTAAATTTCTGATAACTTTAACTACTCTGAGCAATGGGAAATTAATTCTAAGAAGTTTGGAGCAAACACGAAGAGTAGAAAACAAGATCATGATTCCAAAGTTTGTTAAGAGCGTAGGGAAACTTGGTCATTAAATGGCAAATATAGAAAGGCTACAATACAAAACTGAAAATCTGGGGAGAAAAAGTAAGTTGATGATACACAACATCCATGAAATGGTTAAGAGTTCCATTCACTCATTTCCTTATTAATTCACTCAATAAATAGGTA